ATCGTGAATGTGAGATTTGTGTGTGTGTGTGTGTGTGTGTGTGTGTGTTTGTGTGTGTTTGTGTGTGAGAGAGATAGGGTGGACTCACTGGTTGAGTTGTAATTTTGTGTAATGTCTATTTTACTCTTACTAAGTGATCAAATGTATGTACACTTATTTACCATAGTATAATCACATGTTTGACTGTCATTATTAAAGTTTGACTTGTTCATGACCATCGATATGTTTGATCTAATAGTCCAAAATTATCCTTATTTCTTTCAATGTGCGTATATGTGTATTAATAATGGAATCCTTACAAATGAAAGATAAAATGATGGATATGGTTATGAATTATTTATTAAATTTATTTTAAAAGGAAAATTCGAAATCTATATTTCTTTACTTCTAATAATTGCCTTAAAAATTTTCATGTACTAATTAAAATTGTTAAAAATAAGCATGGCAAACTAGAAATTCAAATGTTATGTTAAATAAATGTACAACTAGGATAAAGGGTATATATAGTTACAATACTGTAATGGATACATAAAAATATAATATTACTTACTAAATTAAACAAGAGTGTAATTATATTAATTTTTAAGATATAACTGTTAAAGTTGTATTAAATATTAGAATGTTAATTATGATATGGGATATTATACCCAAAGGAGTAAACTGGTTCACTAGACCGGTCGAACAAGTCCAGCAAACTGTACAGGTCGTCTTGACCGAACAGAATCGAGCAGAGTGGTTGTGGTCGAACATCACGAGTACAAGGTACGGGGGATCCCAGTACGAGGAGAACGGGTCGGTCCCGGGTCCATGGAGGATCTGGTCGAAGATCGACCTGTCGAGCAAAGGGTAATTTGATCGATCATTTCACAGGCTGAGAATAATCCAAGGATCGACCTAGACACGGTCGAGTGCAAGAGCCTTCGAGGTGAATATAGATGAATCTTTACCCCATGTGCGGATTGCAAGTGGCGTGCCTGGATTGGTCTATGACGAGAACCGTCTCTGACACACGCACATTGTGTGAGTACGAACGGGCAGGCCGACAGCTTTTGGGCAGCCAGCTCAGCTAACCCGGGCAGCCTCTAGAAGCAGGTAACTCACCCCTATATATAGGGGTGAGCTTTACATTATGAGCACGATTTTATCCATTCTTACTCTTGAGACTTGAATAAATCTTACATCAGAGGCTCTTCACCTGAAAACCCCTGCGGTGTGAGAGTTCTTTTCAGGTATGCGACGCTCTACCGGCGAGGAGGAAGGAGGTGAACCGATCCAGCCGTTCGGAGTGTTTGACGTTACCAAATTACAACTTAGAGATGTAAAGAGAAATAAAATGATAGTTGAAACATACTAAAAATAACTAAAAGTGAGCGAAAAAAATAATAGCTTACCATTAAAACTAGTGTAGATCCCGTGCAATACACGGGGTACCCAGTTTTAAGGTTAATTACCCAACTTTATTATATTCATGAATAAAGAAATTAAATAAATAAAATAAAAAATACTATTATATATTATTAACCTTTTCTAGATTATTTATTGCCTTGTGGCACACCATCCTCCACGCAAACTAAATTTTCAAGGCATTCGATTAGTGACAGTGGAAACAACTAAATACAACTGGTCGTGACTGAGCACCGACTTTTTCAAGAACATGCCGACATGTAAAAAGACTGACTCTGGCTCTTGTTAGTCGGGATGGATAGAATCATAGTTCTAGTGACATCATTGATCAAACCAAATTCGCACTTCATGTTAATTGAATTAAATAAGTATAGATCTTGTAATTGTGTAATAAAAACCTTAAGTCGAAAGCAGGATGAGTAGACAACATCGATTTACACTAAGTTTATAGAGGAAGAATAACAAAATTTAATTTAGATAAATTCCATATATATTTGATATGAATATTTCAACAAACACAATAAATTGTTTATGCTTTATGTGAATTTTTAAACATATACAAATAACACTTATTCAATGTTGTAATGACACAGATTTACTATGTAATTCACATATTGTTTTTTTTTTTTTTTTTTTTTTTTTTTTTTTTTTTTTTTTTTTTTTTTTTTTTTTTTTTTTTTTTTTTTTTAACAAATATTTTTTCCATTAGATAGTAATTATATAGATTTTGGGTACTAATATAGAAAATATCCGCTTGAAACAACCATATTATTATATTGATTTCAATCAGTAAAAAAATCAATCAAAACTCAAATTTAACTCAACTTTAATTCAACTCCACTATTTCCAATATTATCAATAAAATAACATCAACATAATTTTAACTAACTATCACTTCCAATCATTTTTATCCTACTTTACATCGAATCAACTTTAATTATTTTATTTAAATATTATTTTAATATAACCACTAACAACTAACCATACTACTTTTTTTTAACATTAACTATAGTTAAAAAATCAAACCAAATAAAAACTAGTTGAATCCATAAACAATCACACCTTCAATTTTTTTTAATGTCTATTTTCCGAGGCAATTGTATATCAATTGTACAGTAAATATCTCACTCAAAATTCAAATTTAACTCAATTCCACTGTCTCCAATATTATCAATATAATTAAATAATATCAATCAATCATTATTACACATCACATCAACTTTAATTTACTATTCGTCCACTCACATAATTTTAACTAACAATCACTCCTAATCATTTTTTCCTACTTTTACATCAAATCAACTTTAATTATTTTAATTTAAATATTATTTTAATATATTCACCTATAACTATCATACTACTTTTTTTCAAACTTAATTATAGTTAAAAAATAACAAAATTTTTACTTAGTTGAATTCATATCCAATCAACCCTTTTTTGTTATTAATACTAGCGGAGACTTTAAAGGCTATATCTAGAGGGTGAGCAAAACCGAGCCGAAACCGAAAAACCGCACCGAACCGAGCTATGTTGTGCGGTTCGGTGCGGTTTTTGGTAAGTTCGGTTATCGGTGCGGTTTAGGTTTTGAAAAACCGCAAGTATTTCGGTGCGGTTCGATTTTCTGTCCGAATGGTGCAGTTTTAACCGAACCGCACCGTATGTCATAAAATGTCACTTTTTTTTTAATAAAATATCACCTTAATTTTTATAATTTTACTTACATAACATTACTTGATGGTTATATTTTTTAATTTTGGTTAACCGAAAAACCGAACCGCACCGAACCGAAATTTTTGGTTCGGTGCGGTTCGGTTTTTCCTTCTATAGCGGTGCGGTTCGGTGAAAAAAATTAAAAATCCGATTTTCGGTTTTTTCCGGTGTGGTGCGGTTTTTGACCGAACCGCAGTGATGTTCACCCCTAGCTATATCTCCAAATTGCGATGCATAGGAACAATAACTTACTGAGACAAACTCTGCAGATACAATAATAATAATAATCATAAATAATAGCAGCTAAAAGATCTCAACGCTGCACCAATCGAACAGAGTACTACTTACTACGCATCGAATAAATTTTCAAAAGTGCAGCACAGTCACATTGTACTCTACCGTGACATCCCCTGTCTTGAGGTCGGCCCAAACGGTGTGCGCCAGCGCGTAACCCCTCCCGAGCCTAAAAACCCCACTCCCCCCAACAATCGGCATCTCCCTCACGTCATCAAAAACGTGGTTCCTCCCGAGCACGCTTATGCTGCTCCCCTTGTAACTCCCCTCCAAAAACACATACGTCGCCACCATCAGCAGCGACAAGTCATTCTGAGCTGCAATCGAGTACAGCCCCTGGGCCCGGCCCACCACCTTCGATCCACGATCGGGCCCTTCAGTTAGCGCGTCGTCCATCATCACCGTCATCCCGAAGCCAGGCCTGTCCCCGATTATTCTCACAGCCGTTGCGTTCGGCTCGCTGACCTTGTCATGGAAATAGAAATGGAGTTTGGTGGTCTTTTCCATCCGGGCCGCCGTTATGGGCTCTATCAACTTCTCCGAGAACCTGGCCGAACTGATTGTGATCATCGACAAAAGCAAGAAATTGGACAACATAAGGAGAAAATGATGAAAGCCCATTTTGTTTTTCTTTAGTGTTGTGTGGGATCAAAGTACTCTATACTCAGAGTGGATTATAATGGTTTACCTGTGTGCTTTTTTAACATTTTCTGTTAAAATTATTGAAATGTCTACACGCCAGCATGCAGGCCATATGAGTAGAGTTGGAATGTTTGCTTTGCTTACAAGCAAGCATGCATAACTTTTGTTCTTTCTGGCTCTTCCTTATGCTATAATTCAACTAGCCGAAAGTGAATGATTGTTATACAATACTTCATTCGGCCGGAAATGGTGGACGTAATCGTCTCATCTCCGGGTCCCATTCGGCTGCATACCCAATTAATTGAACGCCCTTTCCTGCTATGAGCGGGAACTGGACGACAAATCCAAGGAGTTCGCCTTCAATTTCAGATGACAATTGGACCAAGAAAGGTTGTTGGCCGACGAGCTCTTCGATGGCAAACAGATCGAGCCCCTCAAATCGCCTTCACGACTCCAACACGATCATGCGAAAACCCACCTCCGAGATTTCCCCCACCTCGCCGGGAAAATTCATCTAGGAACGCTTCTCCACGATTGAGATTTCGATCCATTTGTGGTTGACGTGAATCAAACGCATCGACAAGTAAAAAAGAAGTCGAGGGTGAAAGAACTCCGTGGACATGGGTCTCAGGAAAACGACCCACAAGACCGAATAGAAGTCATTTATTTGGACACTTCTCACATGGACCCTGACCTAATGGGAGAAAAGAAAACAAGACCTAGCACAGGATCAAAGTATCCAGCCACTGAACCTTTACAAGCAGAAAATGTCCGACAGAGATGATTCGTGACAACATATTTAGCACCAAAATTCCCTTTATCTCTTGGACATCATAAAACTCCATTTGAGAAAAGAACTGGCGTTCATGCACTCACAACAGTCAGCTTCGGGGACAAAGTGAAATTTAAAAATTTCAATGGATCGAGTCTGTAGCTGCAAGAGATTAGCGAACCTGAAATATTTATACAAATAGCAATATTCTGTCTGTAATCAAACAAGCTCCAACACTTAGTCTAGTATGCATTTCTCCAGAACAGTCATATATGGATCACCATAGATTATCCATAGCCAGATTTCCAGCATAAAACTAACTACTCAGATTTCAGCTCAGTATGTTTTACCTTAAAGCTAAACTGTGCTCCTATTGGGAACTTCGCCAAGAGAGCACGAAATATGCTCCTCCAAGCGAAACCTAGATAAATGTGTCATTGGGTCTTTGGCCACCACACGAAACAAAAAACTGAAATAAAAACAGAACTCTTCAATCAAATGAGCAATTTTACATCATCCTCTGTTAACACTTTCCCCCCCAAACATAATGTATCAAAAAAAATCATCAAATGGTTTGTCTTAAACTTAATTCTCCTTCAAGTTCAGTTTGGGTTCGGCCTCCTCCGGAACAAACGACACCCAAAACACGGGCAAAAGCGTGCACGCTGCCTGTATCAGCAGCCCCAAAGGCAGGCCCGAAAAATCATCCCCATCAACCCCAACAAAAGCTGCCAGGGCAACACCAAGGTACCCACTCACAATCAGCGCTAAAGCAAAAGCCGACATCACAAAGGCCATAACCGAGCCCTCGCAGCCCGGCGGGCACAGCTTGGCCACCAAGACACTGAAAGGCAGAATCTTGAAAAAATACAAAACCTCGAGAAGGCCCGAGAATACCACAACATAGACAGAGTCTGGGAGCCCAATCTCCCTGTAAACCCCCTTCACGAACAAGAAATCAGACATCATGAGAACAGACATGGAAACCTGGACGGCCATGATCAGTTTTCGGGACGAAATTGACTTGAGGCGGGAGTTGTAGACTGCCCCCCACAGCAGCATGGCCATCTGCCCGAAAACCTTGGATAAACCGAGCAGCGAGGAGTCAATTTTCAAATTTTGCGTCTGGTAGTAGAACATGGTGCCCGTGAGTGCAGGGATAACTGCATACGAAAATGCAAACCAAATAATCGAGTAAAGTATCTCAGGTCTGCCGAGAGCCACAAGGAGTTGTTGTATCTGCTTCTTGATTTCGACTTTTGACTGGCTTTTTGGCAGGTTCAGGGAGCTTTCGCGGACGAACAACGTGACTAGGAACTGAAAACAGAGAAGAATGGAGAAGAAGAAAAACTTTGTCCTCGGGGAGAATTGATTGATGGCTGCCCCGCCAATGAGGTTTCCCAAAATGCCCCCGGCAGAGGAGGCCATCCAGACGAAAGACTGGAGTTCGCCGGAGGAGGGATGGCGTGAAGTCTCGGCTACAATAGCATCATTAGCGACCTCAGCTATGGACGCGCCAAGGTTCCCGAGGAGAAGGTAGAATGTGATTGACAAGAAGGAGATGCCGGACGAGGCAGATATTGCTATGGCTATCCATGACACTGCTTGTAAAAATGCTGCAGTAAAGAAAATAGTATTTGTTAGCCACGGGGAGAAAAATAGATGAATCACAAACCACCTGATAGATGATGCTTATATTTTAACTGAAAGATATACTTCTAATAATACAAGCCGTGTCATATATGCATACTTGGGAGGAAATCTCACTTCACCGTTCCCATGGATAACAGATAGTAATACGTAGCAGAATCAGAGTATTAAAATATCAACAAGACAACAACCAAGTTATTCGTGAATGGATAGTAGAGTAGTTTGATTCCCAGTGTACCACATAAGGAAGGTATTATATCCTACTACCCGAAGAACGTTAAGGCTAATGTCGCAGCTTAAGCCAACCTATTTTTAATTAAGATGGCACAAATGACGAAAAGGATAGAGGTCGACCATGTGAAACAATTACAATATTGAACTACAGGATTATCCTACACTTCAAAGAAAGGTTTTAAAACAAGACCTCATGTAGTAACACAAAGACTTTCACAGATGACCTATAACACTGTATAGGTGAAAGACAATGAGACAGACATCATTTAATTGGCTCCATAATCGTACACGAACATGCATCCAATTAACATCTGCATTCTTATTCCAATCATGAACAGAGAAGTTCGTTTTTTCCAATTACCTAGTCCGGCGAATCTAGAAAGGAAATGGCTCCTCCATATCACACAACTCATACAAGGCTTCACACATCCTCGGACATTACCAAATACGAATATTATGTTTCAATTCTAACAGCTCATGACCTCATAACTAAAAATGTAGACTTGCATAGAGGATCAAGATGATTTCTTCCTAGTAAGGAACCTAAGAAGTGAACATCCCTAAGCACTTTGGTCTAAAGTAAAATTAACCAGATTTGGAAATTCAGGAAGCAACCCAGCAGAATTTCCAATTTGAACCAGATACGATGCCCACAAAATCAACATATACATACACATATAGCGCACGCATACATGCGATACCTCCGAAAAAAAGTCAGCACCATGAAGAGCATAGACAAGTAAGAAAAGCTAATTGAATTATTCCTTCCATTCCACTAAATCAGATTGGTAGAGTATTTCACAAACTTAGAAAGCATATGAACTGTTGCTGGAAATGGAATTGCAACGTTTTCTTGTTTCCTCAAATGTTACCTTCAATAAACGCCACAAAACCTAAATTATGTTGACGCTAATTAGAGTTACTCATATTAAGTTGATGAATACAGAAACTAAGAAGTTGATGAAAAGAAAAGGTCCATCTTTTCAAGAACAGAGGAAGAACGCCGTAGCTGAACAACTCCACATTGTCAGTCATTCATCTTGTGAACCATTGTGAATAGAGGCTTTATCTGACTCACAATGGAAAGATGCTATAGATCCTGAGTTCCAAGTGTAGCTGAACAACAGCACATTGGACTTTTCCCTCACGGTTCTGAGATGGAGCTAGACAACATATGGATCTTCAAGATCAAACACAAATCTGATGGAAGTGTGAATAAGTTCAAAAGTCGGTTGGTGGCAATGGGCTTCCAGCAAACCCCAAGTGTTGATTATTTTGAAACTTTCACCCAAGTGGTCAAGCCAGTCACCAGGCCTATTGTCATCTCTTGCTATTTCAAGGATGTTGAAAATTGATCACATTGATACTAACAAAACCTTGGAGAATGCAAGAAACCGTTTACATGTCACAACTTCAGGGATTTGTGAATAACTCTAAACCATTTCATGTTTGCAAACTAAAAAAGGCCCTATACAGCTAAAGCATACTCTCAGGTCTTGGTCCGATAATCTGAAAGATTTTCTTTTAACTCAAGGTTCAGAGTCCTGATGTTTGAGTCTTCCTTGTTTTATCAATCTTCAGCATTCAACTCTTGTTACTTTTGGTTTATGTCAATGATATACTTATTTCAGGGGATGATCACTCTCAAATTTTACAACTCATCAACCATCATCATGTTGTTTTCTCTCTGAAACATCTGGGATAGGTACGCCATTTTCTGGGTGTGGAAACTCGTAAATCAAAATCTTGCATTTTCTCGAAATATCCCCAGTATGCTCAGGATATTCTCGTAAAAACCAACATGCAGGATTGCAAAAACAAAGATAGCTCATACAGTTAGAATAACATACTTGCACTTCAGAAGAGTTCTCCCTTTGAGCTTACAACTTCATAACGTAGCACCATTTACTACAGCATCTATCACCCTAACCCAACCTCCTCTATAACCCAAAAAAAAAAAGAAAAAAAAAAAACGAAACCAGTTCCTGCATGAACAAACTCACAATCCTCGGCAAGCAATGACAATTTCATATATTAAAAGGCTAATCCTACTAAGGGCCTCATATTTAAACCTACTTCGAGCACGCAACTTCAAAGTTTTTGTGATCCAGATTGGGCTGATGCACTTGATGACATAAATTCTACCAGTGGCTATCATATCTTTCACAGTCCCAATCTCATTACATGGTCATATCCAAGAAACAAGATAAAGGCAACAGTACAACGATCTGCACAAGCGTAAATACAACCGAAGAAAAACGAATCAAGTATTTTTTTTTCTCTACACTGATCAGTTATGTTTTTTCTACATTTCACATAAAAGATGGGAGAAGAATGACAATACCTCCGAGGGCTATATAGGGAACACGATGTTGGCCAAAAACGTAGACGGAATCTGAGATTATGCCGTAAAAGGGCTTAGCCACCATGGGCAGATTAGCCGAGTTCTGAAGAATCTGCAGAGTGGAAGACTCCAATCTCATACCATCTTTTAGGAAGAAATTAATAGCCATCCATGGGAAGCACCTCAAACCCTGCACCCAATACCCAATTCCCAGAAGCAATTTCCGATTCCGGCCACTCTCACTCTCAGTTTTACTACTATTCGCCATGCTCAAGTTCGAAAAAACACTCAGAAATCACACAAAAGCTCTGTTTTTTGGGTCTTTTTGTGCAGGAAACAGAAATGGGCTATTGGGATTCAAGAAAAGATCTTGCTTTCTAGATTCGTCTTGAGTGATTACCG